ACGTTGAAGCCTATAAGGAAAGGTTACATATACCGGATGTAACGGGGACGGGAATTAGCTCAAATGGGAGAGCGCCTCGCAGTGCCATCGCGGAGGTAGGCGATAGTTTTCTTCCTCACTGTCTTACTGATGGATGTTATCATATAATCCTAGCTAGAAATACCTTCCTTCTCCACTTTTAAGATTCATACAAGCATATTACCCGTCTCCAGACGGGACTTGAGTAGGGTCTGATCTTGAGGATGCGGTTTAATTATTTCTCTCTCACTTTTAGTTGAGGATGTATTTACAGTAAGTCTGACTGATATGGTAGACTCGAGTCAATATTATGTATTTGATTAAAAAAATTGTATCTTCTAAATATAATATAAAATCTGAAATTTTACTTTAAATTACATACAATTTTTTCAAATAAAGCGAAAATGGGGTAATTTCATAGTACAATTTCACTTATTTAGTATTATTATTTTGGAAAATATCATCTCTGGTGACGAAGCATCAATTACAAGGTTAAATTCTTAAAAAAGTCAAAATGCAGTTGAGTAGTTTTTGAAGATATATCTTCTTGAAAGTCAGTGGGACGGCGGCCGCCCTTCAGCTAGAGCCGAACAATTAACTCAAATCAATTTTAATCAATAAGTTAGTTCGCCTTTCTATATGCGATTTACAGGACTTGCGTTCGTTCTCGATCACTGGCCTAACGTCTAAATATTTCTTTAGTAAACAAAGCGCAGGATGCTTATTTATTATTCGTGCCAGCCATATCCCGACAAACTTGATTTCTGGAAGTTGGAAGAGACTGATCGAGAAACATACGGCGCAGAATAAACGTGCGGACGCGGACAATAGTCATGGCCAAACTAATTATGTATTAGTTGAGCGTAAGAATTAATGTTTTTATTGCCGGTCATTAGTATATTTTAGTAATATATGGTATATTTAGTTTATAAGTTCCTTTATCTAGTATAACCATATAAGCCTGAATTAATGGCAGTAACTTTCTAAGAGAGCCATGTGGTGTTAGCTAAAACTTGAGAACAAATAAAATTGAATTTTAATTATACGCAAACGCTGCCGTTTCGCTACTGTTTGTAGTCTGCCTATTTCATCAACAAGCTAATAATTATATTAATTACTGATAATATATATATATATAACTAGAGCACTCTGGAGAGCGGCCAAGACCTCCGTCAAGCAGCTGCAATTCTCTCACTGCCGACAATTCTTTTATTAAGTTAATTAATTAAATTATTTGGATTCACCACAAAATGTAAATGAATTCTAAGTTACCCCATTATCTGTACCTTCATATCAAATTTTACTTAATTAATTAATTAATTAAGTTGGATCCGGATCACCATACAAAATGTAATCAATTCGAAGTTTAGCCATTTCTGACCTATCCTGTAAATTTTATTAATATACTAATTAATCTATTAATCTTAAATTGCGATCCGGATCACCACCAAAATCTCAATCAATTTCTTAAGTTACGCCTCATTGTGACCGACTCTGTAAAGATTTGGATATCTAAAGGTCGTTTCATATACTTGTTTCAGTTGACGGCCCTGTACACTAAAACTCATCAAACCTAACAGAACAAACACTCAACACGAACAGAAACACGACGCCGGTGGCAGAAAACATAACCTCCTGCCAAACCCCTTGCGGAGCGGTAATTATAATTTATTATACGTGTAATAATGTATATATTGCTCTATTGATACAGCATCTATATATTGCAACTATCGTCACGTTTCGTTCTTCTGATCATGGTAAACCATTTTATTCGTATGACGCCCAGCTCACTTGGGCCTGGTTTATCTTACGCAGGTTGAACGCAATTATCAGCGTCATCAGTTTCGGTCTACTGACGTTGTCACAGAAAGTTAGCACAACACGCTTACGACGTTGCCATTGTCAATGAGAACTGAAATTCTAACAGTAGAAACTAATTAGTACGACGCGAATCAGAGTTGTATGTACGGGGGCGATGTAGGCCTCAAAATGGTTAGACGCGCCTCGCTTAGCATGTGAGGAGGTAGCCGGGATCGATACCCGTATCCTCCATAGTTTTCTTAATCATAACAAAACCCGCAGGGCCACTACACTCCAACACTCTTACTTAACACTTCTTATTAAAATGTATATCTATGCTTAGAGTCAGTTGTAAAATTCTAATTATAACGGGAGCATTTAGCTCAATGGTAGAGCGGTGAGCGTACGCCCGGTCTCACTTATTTTCTGGAGAGAACCACAATAATATAACGTTATTTTTTAATTTAGATATTTTAGATGTTAATTCTAATTTACGCTTGAACACTTAAAGAAATGCTTTACAATACCGGATTAACGGGGATTTACGCTCAAATGGAGAGCCTCGCGCCTTACATCGAGAGGTAGCGGGATCGATACCCGCATCCTCCATAGTTTCTTCCCTCACTGTCTACTGATGGAATGTTATCATATTAAATCTAGCCTAGGAAGTACGTCCTCTCCATTTTAACATTCATATTTTTTTGGCCAAAAATAGTGACTTTTATTTGCGGGATATTGCGCTGCGCGAGCACCGTTACATGCATGCAGTAGGGACTGAAGAAACTGCCCATTAAATATAGCTTGCTGAGTAGAGAAGATCAGCGGAGCGGACAAGGGAGGCCAAGGGCCGAGAATTGACGGGAGAGGAATGAAGCTAGGAGTTCCAGGGCAACTTACAGGCTATTGGCATCTCTCCTAATTTAAACACAGGTGTACTGATACACTTAATTAACTACAGAAACCTTCGCTGAGTACCCCTAACCATACGGTAATTGCATATTCTTCTGGCTAGCCTGAGATATTGCGCATGTGCTAGCATACTAATCGCTATGCGCTCGCTTAGCAGTGGTGAGAGTTGTAGCGGGTATCGATACCCGTACCTTCCATAATTTTCTTAATCAAACAGATCGGAACACACAGCACTAGCAATTCCAAACACTCTTCTTAAACTTATTTAAAAAACCGAGATTCATATTTATTCGTAGTATGCAGCTATCGATGCTTTGCTCCGTAATGTATGTAAGCTGGCTTGAGGACAGTCTCCACCAATCTGCTATAAACGGAAATAATTATCATAACTGAATTACAAAAAAACTGGTGTAGAGCGAAACGAAATTTATATTCTAGTAAATTTTAACTTTATATTTTGTTTGATTATCTGAGAAAGTATTGTCTCAACAATGCCACAACGTGTTCTAGTATTTGGCGCTTCAAAACTGCCGCCTAGATAATTCTTTCTATTGATATATTTATGTCTATTATCATATCGAGAGCATAGAGATATATTTTCGACTTTACTGGATATAAGAACGATAATATAAAATACATTTATATCATTTAACACATTTAGTACCTAGGTCGAATTAAGAAATTATCGCATTCTTGCGTACTTATTTTATCTGTGTAAAGGATAAATACTGGCTGATATATATACAATAACTATCAATATATATTTAATATTATTACTTATACATATATTTACTATATTATATCATTATATATAATATAAATATAATATGATATTATAACGTGTTTTCCAAAAGCTCAGAGTATAGATTATTTATGCGCATCATGTATATCCCCCCCCCTTTTCTCCCTATCGCTGGTCTGTCATACTATTATTCATATATATATATATATATATATATATATATATTATAATTACTATTATTATATATCATTGTGTGTGTGTGCTGTGTGATGTGGCTGTATGTGCGTGTGTGTGTGTGCTGTGTTGTGTGTGTGGTGTGTATGGTGTGTGGTGTTGGTGTGTGTTAGTGCTGCGTGTGCTGTGTGTATGTGTGTGTGTGGGTGTCGTTGTGTTTGTGTGTGTTTGTGTGTGTGTGTGCCTGTGTGTGGTATGTGTTTTATTTTATTTATTACCTAATTTACGTATTATTTTCATTTATTATAGTTCTATATTATCTAATCGTTTGGAGCTCCATCATTACTCAACCTTGGATATTAGTTAACAAATATGACATTTAATATCCATGATTTTCACATTATCTGCTGCATTATCATTGACACGACGATTATTGCAGGTAAACGTAAATGTGATAGGCGCGTTAATTTGTGACCACAGACCAATCAGATCAATCAAGGTCATGCATGTTTACTATGTAACGGTATAGTTCTAGAAACGCCTATTAGACAGCCGTCCGGTGCTGTGAAATATGTTCTCCACATAGAGACTGTGATATAGACTTGAACGATCCGCGTGGCGTACGACGAAAGAACTACGACGTATAATATTGGTATTATATCGAGCGCATTTGTCGCTTACCGATGCTAACTCGATTAAATAATAAACGTGAACAGCAAATGCCGAAAACTCTGGTTTTACGGCACGAAAACTATTGAGCAATCAACAACAGAATCGTCATCACCAGGGTGCCATATCCATCTGGACGTCGGCTACCACAGATCGCCACTGTGAATCAGGATAAGCTTGAAAATATCGTAACTCTACAATGGCGGAGCTAGTGTTTACGGCCGTTGACTATGTTGTGTTCGCCGCATCGCTTGTTATTTCTGCCGGCATCGGCGTATATTCTGCATGCTCGGGTGGAAAACAGAGCACGACGAAGGAATTCCTGATGGGAAACAGGCAGATGGGTCTGTTCCCGGTGACGATGTCGTTGATAGCAAGTTTCGTGTCCGCCATTTCCGTGCTCGGCGTTCCGTCTGAAACCTACCGATTTGGAACAATATATTGGACGATGATGTTTGCTACGATACCTGCCATGGCTCTCACTGCTCACATATATCTACCTGTGTTCTACCGTCTACAGGTGACAAGTGCCTACGAGGTATAGAAGCAAACACTACGATAGATTAGTATTGATATTGGGTTTCTCCCACGTCTATTCTAAGTATCTGTTACTCGATAAGCAAATGCTACAACGGGTTAGTATAACTTTCGTACTCTAAAAGTAAGATCTCTAAGCTTCACATTGGTATTCGCTAACAGAATGACTATTATTATTAAAAAGCTAAATATTAAAGCAGAAACATCGTAGCAAAATATAAAAGGTTTCAGTAGCGCACCCGCATGTCTCTTTCTCTGCAGTACATAGAGCTTCGCTTTAACCGCGTTGTTCGCCTGATGGGAACATGTGTGTTCCTCGTGAGCACGGTAAGAAACAACAAAATATTAGCATGAATAAATCTTATGATAACGCATAAATGTTTTCATATCTGTACTTTAGCTTTTTATCAGATAACCGGAATCTATATAAAGGTGTCATTGTAATAGACAAATAAATACCTACCTCTTGCTAGAAAAAAATAGTAGGCGTAACTAGTTGGCTCGTTGCATTTCATTTGGGTTTTTTCTGCTATATTTTTCGGTGTTTTCTCGTTTCCTGCACATGACGGTATTTGCGTAGTTCCTGTACATGGCCGTTGTACTTTACGCTCCTGCACTCGCGCTATCTCAAGGTAAATATGCGTCACCATCTAATACTGTTACATTTACTTTGCATATGTATATTCGCAAACAACCGTAGCTATTACCAATATTCACATTTAATAGGTCTTCGTTGTGTTTTGAAAGAATGTCACTAACCCGCTATGCCTTATCTGTTCTCGTTTAGCGACAGGCCTGTCAATTGTGGCATCTATACTGAGCTCTGGATTAATATGCACGTTCTATACCAGCATTGTAAGTTGCTTTGACTTGCCATTCTGATCTTATCAGGAGTAGATAATTGGGATTCCCTATTATCTACTCCTGATCTTATGCATCTATTTTTAGCTATACTCTATATATACGGAACAATTTTCTATTTTCTAATTCTTCTTTATTCTAATTATTTCTATTTCTATTCTAAGGAACAAGGAATGCGTCGAAATACAGACCTTATATATAGACCTTTATATTATAGTTATCAAAACCTATATTGTCGTGATGATGTCACTTGTGCGTTTTTCAGGGAGGAATGAAGGCGGTTATGTGGACCGATACGTTCCAAATGATTGTGATCATCGCTGGAAGTTTATTCGTGGTTATTAAGGGCACTATCGAGCTAGGCGGCCTTAGTGCAGTGTGGAGCATAGCCAACGAAGGAGAAAGAATACAATTCTTTGAGTGAGTGTTGCTGTGAATTGCCAGTAAATCGGCAGTACCGGACGTGCAACGATATGCATAGTCGTTACTAGAAAAATAGATTCGTTAAACAGTCAACAGTAATCGATTGTGTTTACTTTTTTAATGATGTGTTTAATTTAATTAATTAATTAGTTGGAGAACGGACCCCACTGTTCGACAGACGACCTGGGGTTTGGGGATTGGTGGCACAGCTTTGTTTCTCAACTTGTACGCAACAAATCAAGCAACCGTGCAAAGATACCTGAGTGTCTCCACTCTGAAAAAGTCCCAGCTGTAAGTAAACCGAGATAGGCATATACGGCTATACTAAAATCACTAAATTACCAACTATATGTATACTATACAACTATGGTACACTATATTATAAAACACTATATATCTACAGATTTGGTTATTCTTTCTGTAAAATTACCAAGTATACTATGATACACTATATTATAAAACACTATATATCTACAGATTTGGTTATTCTTTCTGTATAATGCTTATACGGACCACTAGTCCTTTTCTATTTTCCTCTGATCTTAATGGCTATTGCAGATGTTGTTACATGATGGCTCCCACTTGGATTGCTATCCAGTGGGTTTTCACATTTGCTGGAATTATTATGTACGTCAAATATAGAGACTGCGATCCACAGCAGAATGGACAAATTACAAAACCCGATCAGGTAAACAAACCTGTCCTCAATGCATTCAAAATTCGTTTACGTGTCAATTTGTGTAATACGTCATAAATACCCAGTTAAAATCTTTACGATGTTTCTGTATTACGATTTTGAGGAAAAAGTAAAATCTTAATTTAATCCAATTTTTGAACTTTATGTTTTAGCTATTTCCCTTATTTGTCATGGAGACGTTGAGTTTTCTGAATGGTGTATCCGGCTTATTTGTAGCGGCTGTGTACAGTGCTGCACTTAGGTTAGTATATCCCATGTCAAAAAGTATTAAAAGTATGGCTAGATTCTATTTGTTCGCATGAAGTACAACATTAACCTTTCTCGTTATGAATTATATTAATTAAACGAAGCAAGGACAAAATGTATGCATGTATAATTTTTGTAAATAATGCGTCTGTGTATGGTACTGCAGACCATGCATAGCTATATGTGACTTTTCCGATTTAATCATCAGGTAATATATTTTAAATGTTTCTCTGCCCGTTTATGATAATCTATCTATACTGTGCGTGCAAATAGCTATATATCATCGGTATATTTTCTTTCATAGTACTGTTTCCTCTGGTGTAAACTCACTGTCAGCTGTTGTACTTGTGGATATCATAAAACCTATATACAGAGATCGGCGAAATGAGGAAATTGGAGAGAAAATGGCTACTACCATATCCAAATGTTTAGGTAATAACAGCGTCTTGTTGTTTTACTGTAGCAGTACTATTTTAATGTTTTGTTATGAGGTTATATCTGCATAAAATTATCTGAGACACATGAAGATATACCCTCTTCTAATATTGTAAATTACATTGTAAATCTACGGCGAATTGTAACTCGCCAAATTCGACATTTGGCATGTTGCGTGTGTTACATGGCGTCCTACATAGCTTCGCTTTTAAGAATTAAGAAGCATTCTGACCAAGTAATTAACACATAAGCTTATTGATTAATTCTTTGTGATTTAATTTATAGCGGCACTTTTTGGACTGATGACAATTGGACTTGCATTTCTTACGTCGGTGTTGGGTGACGATATCTTGTCGGTAAGTGCCTTGTTTTATTTACTAAACGATGGTTACTCTAGGAGAGAATGGTTACGCACGTTTAGAAGCACATCAATGATTATACAATTTCGAATTCGACGTATAAATTTGTCCTAACTCGCTCGCTTATTTCTTTGCTGAGCTCACAGCTAAAAAGCGCGGAAATATGTTATCCGTCCGTATTCCGACTACCAGTACCCTATTATGTTAAAAAGAAACAGTGACTCGAACATATTTCTGATTACAGGTTGCTATACGTCTGTTTGGCATGGTAGCGGGTCCCGTGACTGGCATGTTCACTCTCGGAATCTTGTTTCCGTGTGCAAACTCCTGGGTACAGATACGCATGAGCATTATTATTATTTATTTTATTTTTTTACATTTTTTTATTATTATTATTATTACCTCCGCCAGGGGCTTGGCGGGGGTTATGTTTTCCCCGGCGTGTGTTTGAGTGTTGGTTTGTGTGTTTGTGGGTTTGTTAATTAACATGCACGTTTCAGTTCACTTCCGCTGGGTGCGCTGGCTGTAGACTTACAAACACGCAACCACAGGCTAAGGGGCAACCACAGTCCTCCCCCACCTGCACGCTCGCACTAATCCGGATCCAATTATTAATTAATTAATTAATTTTTCCACTTAATTAATTAATTAATAAATAAAAAAATCCACATTGAGAGAATTCAGCTGCCTTGGCGGAGGTCTGTGCTCTCCGAGTGCTCTAGTTATTATTATTATTATGACGATGACTACGATGATGGTTATTATGATTACCAATTTACGGGATTTGTGGAGTGCAAGAGCTGATTTTCATCAAGAGATTTCAGCAGTGATATGGTAGTGATGATTAATAAAATACGCATGGCATCAGTATCTCGGCTTGAAGAATAAGGTTGCACAACCCTACATTTATTGTACATTTATCGGCATTATGTTAGCTCTCCAAACGGCATTGGTGTGAAGGAAAAACATTCGAAACGTGATTGCGGTTAAAAAGCAAATTCAGAAAAACCTGCGAAAGCAGTACTCGCGAAAAATATAAATAATTTGTATATAAATTAGGGGTACCCCTTTTATACTGTATGAAAATGTTACGGGAAATTCAGTGTTGAGCTATATCCACCTGTTTTGCTTTTAGGGAGCTGGAACTGGTCTTCTTACTTCGCTTGTCGTTGGACTATGGTTAGGCGTTGGGGCAACTCTTTCTAAGATACCGCAGCCAGCACTCTCTGTTAGTATAGAAGGGTGCAACGCAACGACATCACTGAATGCTTGGTACATAGGAAACTCAACTGTTGCAGGAGAATGGTTATCTCAACAAACTACCGACATACCTTTATCTACTCACGTAGATATCAATGTGTAAGTAAATAACAGATAATAAAATTAAAATCGACAAGTTCGATTGACGGGATTATCAAAGTGTAATATCTGTATCTTTTAAATTGAAGTGCTAGTCGGTCTCTCTTACACACTCTCATTCTCTCGCTCGCTCGCTCTTCCTCTTTCTCGCTCGCCCTTCCTCTCGCTCGCTCTCTCCTTCTCTTTCTCTCACTCGCTCTCGCTCGCTCTCTCTTCCTCTTTCTCTGACTCGCTCTCTCTCTCTCGCACGCTTTCTCTCTCTCTCGCTACCCTCCTCTCGCGCCTTCTCTCTCTGTCTGTCTCGCTTCCGCTCGCTCGTTCTCTCTCTCTCTCTCTCTCTCGGTACTCAGACCGTTCTTATGCCATCGTAGCGATAATGAGGAACGATGTCTCCCCTTGACAACTCAAACCAAAGCGGTGCCCCGAAATTCGTTGTTACTCCGCATGCAGTAAAATATAAACGAAACCTAACCGTTTACCTGATATAATATAGGAAATACTTACCTTCTCATTTCTAGTGGACACACCGGAGACGATGTGATTTGGTTTTACAAGATCTCCCACCTTTGGTACAGTGCCATTACTGTGATTGTGTGCTGCGTGGTTGGTCTTCTGGTTAGCCTGGCAACAGGTAAAATAATACTAGAACCTAAATGTGTTGCTAGTATACCGCGTCGGGTATCATGTTGTTTCCGTATATGAGTATTGCCAGTTATATTTATATTTCCTTCAAGGTGGACCAAAAAAGGATCTTGAGCCGGAACTAGTTTATCCGTTGTTTACTAAAGTTAAGTGCTGCGTACCCAAAACCTTCCAAGATAGAAAGAATTCAAAGCAAGACCAGGTATGTTATTAACTTCGGTTATAGTGATTGACCTTGATAGTTTGGCAGCTATACTTGAATCTACCCCTGCAATCGCAATTTATAAATATTTACAAGAATGCAATTAACAAATCAAAGTAACACGAGACACACTTCAAGAGGAACTATTAAATGTATTGCTGACACGTATATGTGTATATACATCAGATTATGTGTATTAAAATAATTATTATTACTACATTCTTCATTATCCATAACGGACGGGTAAGCATGGCTTACAAATAAATGTATAAGTATCACGCGAATGATAATTTAATACAGTAAAGCCGTAAGGATAACAGTGCTAAACAAAATGCGCATACAAGGGCAGTACGTCTATCGCAAAAATATACCAAAATTAATTTAAATTTCAACTATATATCAGTCCGTTTTTTTATTGCAGCCTTACCACGACAGTTTGATTTTTGGACAGTCGGAAAATAGAGAGAAATATACGACAGCAATACACCCCGAAAAAACGTCGTTGACATTTGTTTGACGATCGAACTCGGGCCAATATAAATGTATCTACGTGTGTGCGTGCGTGCGTGTGTGCGTGCGTGCCACCCTTTGCTGCTTCGTTTGTTCGTTTGCGTGTGTGTGTGTGTGTGTGTGTGTGTGTG